TCATATGTTTTGATCTTAATATAAAATAATAACAAACTAAATAAAAATATGCACTTGATACTAAACTATATCTCATAAAACTATAGCCAGTTATAAGGTGTAAAAGTGTACTAAATATAAACGACATACTAAATTGCTTAAATGTATAAAACTCTACGATTATTAAAATATTTATCGACAATATATTAATGGCTAGAATTAAATAAACAAACGATAAATCAATATTATAATTATTATTAATAAATAAATATCATGGCATAAAATCTATAACTTACTTGACATTAAGTGCATGTATTTAATCACTTTGAAAGTAATGTGTGTTTTATTGTGGAATTTACTGATGATATCTTTATGGGAGTCATTCAAATCCAATTGATTTGGTTTTATTTTGTTACCAATTAATGCAAATATTTGTGTCCAACAAAACAACTTTGTATTTGTATTTAAATAAAACAATTTATGCCAAACGATAACAATAAAAGTACCAAAAATATTGGATAATTTGATAAACAATTCATTTCCGCCCAAAAATAATGACATATCAAAGAGTAGAAACCGGATCTCAAAAGTGATGTTTGGACACAAAAACGATAAATATTTTAATAAACTTATTAAATAACACAAATACAACACATTTCTATAAAAATCATTTGCGCTATGATTGAGACGATTGTATAAATCATTTGTAAAATGATTAAATAAGTAATCATTACTTAAAATAATTTTATATAACATATTTGTAGTTGATTTAATTGTGGTATCAATTAATGGATATATTCGTGGCATTTCTTTAGAGATTTATATTTAAGACAATTATTATGTTTAATATGAGAATTACAACTTTTACACAAAATTAATTTTATTTAAATAATATTTTTAACATAAAATATTAATATTAAATTTATTAATACCAATTTTGCAATAATGCTTGTACTAAATCAACGACAATGTTTTATTTATAATTATATTGATCGCTTGCTTAATTAACATTTATAATACAATAATTAAAAATATTGTTACTACTAAATAGTGCTGTTAATTGTATTAATTTATTGATTATAAAATGTTTTAATATAAATACATACAACGAATAGTTTAGGAAAAGTACCTTAAGAATCATTAAAGATATTTTTAATTTAAATGATCATATTTATTATCAAATGATCATAAATCAATTAATATAGATATTTATTTTCTATAAATGTGTATATCATTTATAGATGTTAGCCATTTTTATTGTTAATATTAAATATCGAAAATATATAACTGTCAACTAAAATAAGAAAAGTATTACTAGATTAAAACAAATCATAGTTTATTTTAATATTTACCATGAACAATTTTGAAAATGTCATCACAAATAGAGATCCGACTGAAAATCCATATATAATTCGCTTTCTATCCATACTTTCAGCAAATATTAAAAGTTTGAGTTTTGTCCTCACATTCCTCTCAATTTTCATTTGAATCAAAAACAGTTTATTTGACGACAAATGTATTGTTTTGGACACAAGAGATGCACAAAACGATATGAAAAATATATACATCCAAATCATAAACACAACACAACCATACAATACATACATATAAGGCTTTAATTTTGTAAATAATATCATAACTAATAAAACTAAATTTAGAGGAATTAATGTAATTAACAAATAAATATAATATTTTTGCCAAAATGTATTAAATCTTTGTAATTGATGGCAAACATTGTTGTGATCTCTTATTATTGTCATTAGATTTTTTGTGGTAATTTTATAAATTTTTAAATTTAAAGTTAACATTTTGATTTCTATCATCATATGTTTGGATCTTAATATAATATAATAACAAACTAAATAAAAATATGCACTTGATACTAAACCATATCTCATAAAACTATATCCAGTTATAAAGAAATGTGTAATAAAAATAAACGAAATAATAAATTGTCTAACTGTGTAAATCTCTACGATTATTAAAATAAATATTGACAATAGATTAATGGCTAGAATTAAATAAACAAAATAATTAATATTATAATTGTCACCAAGGTGTTAAATCTATAACTTACTTGACATCAAATGCATATATTTAATCACTTTGAAAGTAATGTGTGTTTTATTGCGGAATTTACTGATGATATCCTTATGAGAGTCATTCAAATCCAATTGATTTGGTTTTATTTTGTTACCAATTAATGAAAATATTTGTGTCCAACAAAACAACTTTGTATTAGTGTTTAAATAAAACAATTTATGCCAAACAATGACAATAAAAGTGCCAAAAATATTGGATAATTTGATAAACAATTCATTTCCGCCCAAAAATAGTGACCAATCGAAGAGTAGGAAACGGATCTCAAAAGTGATGTTTAGACTCAACAGCGATAGATATTTTAATAAACATATTAAATGACTTAAATATAACACATTTCTATGAAAGTCATTTGCCCTATGGTTGAGACGTTTGTATAAATCATTTGAAAAATGATTAAATAAGTAATCATTACTTAAAATAATTTTATATAACATTTGTTTAGTTGATTTAATTGTAGTATCAATTAATGGATATATTTGTGGCATTTCTTTAGAGATTAATATTAAACACAATTATTATATTTTATATAAGAATTAAACAACTTTTACCAAAACATAATTTTATTTGAACAATGTTTTTAAACATAAAATATTAAAATGTAATTTATTAATAGCAATTTTATAAGAATGCATTGCACTAAATTAATGATAATGCTCATTTGCTTAATTAACATTTATAATACAATAATTATAAAGATAGTTAGTAAGTGTCATATGACGTCACATGTAATATAAAATACAGAATTTACAATTTTAACAATATTTCAAATGAACTATATTATATAATATAATTGTTACAAAACTACAAAGTTACAACCAAATTAACATTACCTGAGTTATATTAGTCTGAAAAATATATTGATTTCTAAATTTATTAATCTTAATTCAAGTATATTTACAATAAGATTATTTATATATTTTAGCCATTTTTATAGTTAATATAAAATATCGCAAATATAATATTGTTAACTGAAATAAAAACAAAATTGTATTAATTTACTGATTATTAAACATTTTAATATAAATACATACAAAGAATAGCTTAGGAAAAGTCATCACAAATTGAGATCCGACTGAAAATCCAAATTTAATTCGCTTTTTATCCACTTTTTCGGTCAAATTTAAAAGTTTGAGTTTTGTCCTCACATTCCTCTTGATTCCCATTTGAAGACAAAAGAGTTTATTTGACGACAAATGTATTGTTTTGGACACAAGAGATGCACAAAACGAGATGAAAAATATAAAAAACCAAATCATAAACACAACCGAACCGTACAATACATACATATAAGGTCTTAATTGTGTAAATAATATCACAACTAATACAACTAAATTCAGTGGAATTAATGTAATTAACAAATAAATGTAATATTTTTGCCAAAATATATTAAATCTTTGTAATTGATTGCAAACATTGTTGTAATCCCTAATTATAGCCATTATTTCCTTTGCCTTTATTTTACATTTATTTGATGTCTTTATTTGATTTGAAGACAACTGTTGAATGTCTTTCACTAAATGTTTTGATCTCAATATAAAGTAATAGCAAATCAAATATTTGATCAATAGAAATAGTTATCAATAGAAATAAGTGCTCGACATTAGAGTGTATTTCGTATAATAATAAGCACTAATCAAAAACGTAATGATAATCACAAACGAGACAATAAATTGTTTAATAGTATAAAACTCGACGACTATTGCTGTAAATATTACTATTAAAAGTATAGCTAAAATAATATAAAATATATTATTAGTATTTTAAGTTTAATAAATACAAAATAGTTTTAATTACTACATACTTGATATCCAATGGATATATTTAATAAATTTAAAAATTACTTTGCATTTCATGCGAAATCTAAAGACAATGTAATCGTGGCATTCATTTAAAGCCAATTCTTCTGGTATAGCGTTTCCAGCGGTTAATGCAAATATTTGTGTCCAACAAAACATACCATGTTTTGTATTCAAATAAAATAAATCATACCATATGTTAACAATAATACCGCCCAAAACATTAGATAGTTTTATGTATAATTCATTTCCACCCAAAAACAAAGACCAATCAAATAGTATGAATCGAATCTCAATACTGATGTTTGGGTACAAAATTATCAGGAATTTGACCAGGTTAAATAAATGACATAAATATACTAGATTTTTATAAATACTGTTTACTCTATAATATTTGCCAGTATTAAAGTAATCTAAAAAATTACTTAATACAAAACTATTTTTAAATAAAAATTCATTTGAGTTATTAATATCGGATTCAATGAGATTATACTTTTGAGGAGATATTTGTGTCATTTTTACTATAAATAAATCTCATTTGAATGTATTATTAACAAAGTTTGATAAAAATATGTTGTAATTATTTATAATAAAAAAAACTATTGTGTGTTTTCTAACATTAGTTCTAACTAGTGTTTTAATTGGTGTATTTCCTACAAGGGCATTAATTATTAAAGTAATAATTCTAAAAATACTTTATTACTAATTGCATTGAGCCTGGTATATGGACCTAGATGTTTAATTTATACAAACCTATTAGCTTAATTAATATGATGCATGACTTTGATACTTAAATTATTTTAAACAAAAATACATTTATTTAATTATAAATGTAAAACATTAATAGAATTAATATAATAATACATTATAAGAATTTAATTATTAAATGTTTGAAAATACCCTAAATATAAAACAGCACTCTATGTGACAATTATATAAACCAAAATTATCAGTAATGATAGTAACACTGAATTCAATATCTTTCAACGCGATTATTAATATTAGGCGATAATAGCAATGAAAATCACATTTATTTAACTCAATTTACATGTGAATCAAAATCATAAAACGTGTAAAACATATGAATGAAAACATTGAAAAAGACAAACATTAAAACGGTATCTAATTATCGGCCGGATATTTAAGACCAGAATCGTTGAGAAGAGTGACAATCCAGGCATCTTTGGGCACTTTACCCGACTTCAACAGTCTGACAGCTGCGGCCACATTAGCGCCGGACGTGTAGCCCATATACAGGCCCTCCTTCTCGGCCAACAGATTCTTGTACTGAATGGCCTCCGCATCGCTCACACCGACAGTGAAGTCCATTGTCTCAAACTTAAAGAGTTGGGGAACCTTTCCATAGCCCGAGCCCTGCAACACATGCATGGGTTTGGTCACCGGATCACCTTTGATGACCTGAGCGCCCTCGGGCTCCACCACAACACACTTGATATCTTTGTTTTGCTTTTTCAGATACCGGGAAACGCCGACAAAAGTGCCCGCCGTTCCCACAGTGGCCACGAATACGTCAATATGACCGCCAGTTTGGCGCCAGATCTCTGGGCCCATATGCTCTTCGTGTCCCTTAGGGTTGTCTTCGTTGTTGAACTGATTGACATAATAGGCTCCGGTGTCGGCCACCAGTTTAAGGCCCAGATTCTCGGCCTGAGTCACGTCGGCGAGCGTAACGTAGCCGGGCTTTCCCTCCACCTGCGGGGCCAACACAACTTTGGCACCCAATGCCCTCATCATCGACGCCCGTTGCGGGCTATTGCCGGCCGACATCGTCAACGTTAACGGATGTTTCAACACAGCGGCCACAACCGCAAGACCGCAGCCCTGGTTACCGCTCGTCACCTCAACGATGGGTCCGTTGGGCTTGAGTTTGCCGGAGTTGAGCGCCCGCTGAATCATCGATAGGGATGAGCGGTCCTTAATGCTGGCGCCCGGGTTCATGAACTCACACTTTGCGAGTATACGGCCCGGACCCGGCCATATGCGGTCCAACGCCACCAGCGGTGTGTTGCCGATCAGCTCCAGTGCCGACGCTTTGATGTCTGTGGTTCCGTACGGTTTGGCCATTGCTTTCCACTCGTGTTATACTAATTAATAAATCAAATTAATTGTATTTGTATTTCAATCAAATCCGATGTAATGTTTGCAATAGTTTTCATCAATAGTGAGACTATTTTACAGTATTTATATAGTTTTCAATATCCATATCCTATCGCACCATAAGGTATGCTCGGCTTATGTTAGTTACTATGTAAGTGCTTATTATACCATCGAGATTAACTTGTGTTATACTTGTGGCATTTTACTTGTGATTATAATAAATGATTGGTTTAGTTAATTAATGTTCATAACTTTTGTACGACATTTACAACGATGAGATCAATACTAGTTTGTTTCATTTGTGTCATTTTTACTTTAAATAAATATTATTGACAAAATTGGATAAAAATATGTTGTATTGCATTTACATAGAATTAATACAGTATACAGTAATAGTGTCTGGTGGTATATTTCCTACAAGGGAACTAACTTAATTAATTAAAGTAATCCCATTCTAAAAATACTTTATTACTAATTACATCGAGCCTGGTATATGGACATAGATGTTTATTTTGTAATTAGCTTAATTTATATGATGCATGAATTTTATACTTAAATTATTTTAAACAAAAATACATTTATTTAATTAAGAAATAAAACATTAATAGAATTCATATAATAATACATTATAAGAATTTAATTAATATTTAATCAAAATACCATAAATATAAAATGTTATACAAACTCAAAAACAGCACTCTATGTGACAATTATATATAAACCAAAATTATCAATAATTATAATAACACTAAATTTAATATCTTTAACGCGATTAATAATATTAGGCGATAATAGCAATGAAAACCACATTTATTTAAATCAATTCATAAAACATGTGAAACATATTAATGTAAGCATTAAAAAAGACAATAATTAAAACGGTATCTAAACTTTAATTATCGGCCGGATATTTAAGACCAGAATCGTTGAGAAGAGTGACAATCCAGGCGTCTTTGGGCAATTTGCCCGACGATAACAGTTTGACAGCTGCGGCCACATTAGCGCCGGACGTGTAGCCCATATACAGGCCCTCCTTCTCGGCCAACAGATTCCTGTATTTGATGGACTCCTCATCGCTAACACCGACTGTGGTGTCCATTGTGTCAAACTTGAAGAGTTGGGGAACCGCGCCATAGCCCGAGCCCTGCAACACATGCAAGGGTTTGGTCACGGGATCACCTTTGATGACCTGAGCGCCCTCGGGCTCCACCACAACACATGTTATATCTTTATTTTGCTTTTTCAGATACCGGGAAACGCCGGCAAAAGTTCCCGCCGTTCCCACAGTGGCCACAAAGACGTCGATATGGCCGCCAGTTTGGCGCCAGATCTCTGGGCCCGTATGCTCTTCGTGTGCCTTAGAGTTGTCGTCGTTGTTGAACTGATTGACATAATAAGCTCCGGTGTCGGCCACCAGTTTAAGGCCCAGATTCTCGGCCTGAGTCACGTCGGCGAGCGTAACGTTGCCGGGCTTTCCCTCCACCTGCGGGGCCAACACAACGTTGGCGCCCAACGCCCTCATCA